CAGGAGGAAACAGGTGGGGAGATAAATGGAAACACGTGGGGAGACAAAGAGCTGACCGAGCCAGACCATCTTGTGACAGCATCCAGCCCAGCAAGCGCGCAAGGAAACAAGTGCTGTCATGAGATGGTCTGGCTCGGTCAGCTGTTTGTCTCTGCCTGTTCCAAGTGAGCACATATATGGGTCCCAGGTGAACACATATGTGTTGCAGGTGAACAGAAATCAGATGAACACGCGCTTGCGTGTGTGTGTGTGTGTGTGTGCGTGTTCCGGGTGCGCAAATATATGTGTGTGTGCGATCGCATGTACACATATGCGTGTTCCACGTGTACACATATGTGTGTCTTCACGTGGGCACATATGCGTTTTGCACGTGTACACATATGTGTGTTCACATGTACACACATGTGTGTTCTTATCAGACACGTGTATGTGTTCCAGGAGAAATCATGTTTGCTATCAGATGAAGTCTGCTCCGCGTGCACATGTGTGTGTGTTCACGTGTACACATATTTGTGTTCCACGTGTACTCATTTGTGTGTTCACGTGTGCACACATGTGCGTTCCAACTGGACACGTTTTTGTGTTCCAGGAGAACACATGTTTGTTATCAGATGTGTGTGTGTGTCTGCTCCGCGTGCACATGTATGTGTGTTCATTTGTACACATGTGTGTGTTTCACGTTCCAATTGGACACGTGTTTGTGTTTCGGGTGAATACATGTTTGTTTTCAGATGAACGCACGTGTGTGTGTGTTCCGGGTGCACATATATATATATATGTGTATATATATATATAATATGTGTGTGTTCACGTGTACACATATGTGTGGTCCACGTGTACACAGACGTGTGTTCACGTGTACACACTTCTGTGTTCCAATTAGGCACGTGTTTGTGTTCCAGGAATACACGTGATTGTTATCAGATGAACACTCGTGTGTGGTGTGTGTGTTCCGGGTGCATATATGTGTCTATGTTTCACGTGTGCAGTACACATGTGCGTTCCACGTGTGCACAGGTGTGTGTCCACGTGTGCACATTTGTGTCTCCCACGTGTACACATATGTGTGTTCACGTGTACACACATGTGTGTTCCAATTGGACACGTGTTTGTGTTCCAGGTGAACACATGTTTGCTATCAGATGAACGCTCGGGTGTGTGTGCACACGTGTGTGTTCCAATTGGACACGTGTTTGCGTTCCAGGAGAACACATGGTTGTTATTAGATGAGCATGTGTGTTCCGGGTGCGCATTTCTGCGAGTGAAAACGTGCGCACACTCACGTGTGCACATATGTGTGTTCCACGTGTGCGCACATGTGTGTTCCAATTCGACACGTGTTTGTGTTCCAGATGAACAGATGTGTGATCCACGTGAACAAATTAGCATGTGCTAGGTTATTTGCTCTGCAGGTGACACATGTATGTGCTCCAGAAACGCATGATTGTCTTCGAGGTGCGCACATGTGTGTGTGTGCGCTTTGGGTGAGCATTTGTGTTTGCTCCGGTGTGCACATATGTGTTCCACGTGTACACACATGTGTGCTTTAATCGCACACGCGGTATTCCAGGTGGACACGAGGTGTTCCAGGGGAACACATATTTGTGTTCCAGTGGTGTACATATGTGTGTCCCACGTGTACACACATGTGTGCTTTAATTGCACGTGTTTGTGTTCCAGGTGAACACATGTGTGCTCCACGTGTACACACATGTGTGTCTGAATTGGACACAAGTGAACACATCTGTGTTCCACGTGAACACATTGGCGTGTTGTAGGTGAACACATGTGTGTGTTCCAGGTGTGCACATGTGTGTGAGCTTTCCAAGAAGCACATGTTTGTTTTCCAGCTCAACACATTTATGCGTGTGCCGCAGGTGAATGTATATGTGTGTGTGTTCACGGGTGCACATCTGCGCGTGCCGCGTGTGCTGTTTCAGGTCGTATACATATGTGTGTTCCACGTGTACACACATGTGTGTCCGAATTGGACATGTGTGTCTGAACTGCCCATGTGACCGCGCGCTTGCGCAGCCACACTTGCGTTCACGCGCGCGCTCGCCCGCCATCGCACGCGATGGCCAACCTCAGTTCTCGCGCGTGCCAGGTTCGCGACTACATCATTTGGATTCATCCGTGTTGAAGCGCAGAAAGCCACAAGCTGTTGGCATGTTTGTGCTTGCCCGTTAGTCCTCAACTGTTTGGGGTCTCTGCTGGCGTAATTCACATACTGTTCCAGATCATCTTTGTCCAGGTTCTTCTTCACGATCCAGAAATTGGTCTGCATTTCCTGTCCTTCGGAATCGTATGCCGCAATGATGTTTTGTGGCCCGATAGTATCTTCGGATAATGCAGCGCGTTCCTCGGTCAGCCTGACGCCTTGGTGGTTGTTCTTGAGGAAGCCAAGGATCAATAGGGCATCTCGTCCTCCAAACACATGCGTCAAAGCTGCCTTGGATGGCTCATCGTCGAGGATCACGTCGTCAACGCTTGCAAGATGGGCATGGGTTCTCTTTCGTGGGGTCGAGCTTTTCCCCGGCTTGATTCCTTGTTCCAGGATGTTGTATATCTGGTCGTTGTAGGTCGCATGGAACATAAAGGTGATTGGCTCTTGTCGAATGGCTTGATCTTTCCCTCCTGTTCCACACCTTGGCGTGTTGCTTCCGTGATCTGCATGCTGCTGAAGGATGGGTACGCTCGTGGAGTGTTCACCATGGCAGATCGTAGTCCGGGTCTTGTTGTTGGTAATCCTGCTGCTCGGTGTTTCAACGGGTCGTGCATGACCACTGCAGCATCTCACACACAGTTCCGTCTCCCTGTCGTTGTGGAACGCTGTTCCATCAGGTCGGAGAGCGTCGTGGCGCCTTTCCTTTCTCGTTCCTGGTATGTTCCATCATAATCTGGAAATACAAATGCGATTTCAATCAAATCGGGATTTCCATATTTCGGAAACGAGGGGCTTGTTGCCCAGGAGTTTTCCTTGCGTGGCTGATGCCGCGCAGCGCCTCGAAGAGCTCGCAGGATCCGTCAGGATTAGCTCGGATTTCTCTCTTGAGCTGCTTGGTGCTTCTCTCCTTTGGATCATGTCGCAGGCGTCTGGAGAACAATCGGCTCAATCTCTCCACTCTCCAGAGGATGAAGTGGACAATCTGCTGCGCCTTGGGCTCATCAAAGCAGAAATACCTGCAGACTTGTTGTGGCATACCATCGGAATGATATCGGTTCCGCAATCATCTGAGAGGAACCTGGCAATCATCAATGAATGTCATGTCTTCGCTCGAAGTCCACTCGTCTTACTTCTTGATGGCGCTTGCTTTGCTGCTTTGCAAACTTCGCACTCACTTCGGGTTTTGTCAAATAAGTTGTTGGTAAATCTCGGCAAGTGAAGTGCAAGTGAAGCGCGCGGGTTCTGAATCGAAATTGGTCGGTAGTCATGTGATGATGCTGAAGGTGGAGCTTCTTCAACTCTTCGGGCTTTGACAATCGCTGGTGGGTTCTGCCTAAGGCAAGCGGTAACGATGTTGGTTCGTCTGCGGATGGTGCAGTATACCTGGCTCAATGGTCGACCGGCCTTTCTTGTCGATGATCCTGTCTGCTGCAGATCCTGAACCTGGTTCTTCATCTTTTAGCGGATTGTCTGCGAAGGTGAAAATGGTCTTACCTATCCGCAGGTTGATCATTGGTTTGTTCGCCTGGGATGTAAGTCTCCAATTGTCTTCTAAGATGTCTGGATCTCCGTTCTGTTGTACGTTCTCGGCTGATGTTGTCAGGATTGATTGGACATTCCTTCGCTCCAGTTCTTGTGAACAGCGCCTTGCGAGGCGCGATGCGCACGCGGATGAGCTGCTTGTTCTTCTTGTTGAATATCCAATGATCCTGCTTCAGAGACCCATGGTTTTTGGAGTTGCTGTGTCCTCCTTTGTCTCGGATGATTTGGGCGCGCAAACAGTTTCACTCTTGGAGTAGTCCCCGGAGGGAAACTTGATGCTGTTGTCATCATCGTAGACATATTTTTGGAACTTTTGCAGCAATCTCTCGATGTGACTCCAGCAAGATCGACCAGTGCATGTCCTGCACCAGATACTGGAACTGCTTGACGATTCATGCCAAAACACATTGAGGTGTGTGCTCAATGGGTAAAACGCACGCTGGATTGCATGCCAGCTGCCCATGGATCTGGCACATCCGTTGTCCATGCGCTGAGGGTTGATGACGGGCGCCACCAGTGGATGGCTTCTTTCTCATGCTGCTGAGATGCGTCATGGAATGCCATTTATGATTGTCCTGCGCTGGATGTCTCAAGGATGAGAACCATCCTGATTCACTCCAATTCCATGATGGATCCCAATCTTGGTCTGTCCAACCGGCATATGTAGGCTCTGTCGGCTGATTGCGGACTGCTCCTCCAAATTCTCTGCCGTGGCTGCGAACGTTGTGGATTTTCCTCTGTCATGTCCGCCTTTTCCTTTGCCACTGTCATAGGATGGATTGCCTTTGTTTCCATCATAGGGATACTGGAATTTCGATTTTCCTTTCTTCCATTTCTTTCCTTTGCCTTTCCCCAATATGCTTGGTCGTAGGGATCCTGATTTTCGTTGGCCATGTTGGCCTCCCGCCGGAGCCACGACTGCCCGCTGTCTGGGGTATCTTATCCGCGAAGGGAACCGACACCTTGTGGCAGTAGAGGGTCTTTAGCCTGGATCTATTCCGGAGAGTCCAAGCGATACTGGATTAGCCCTGGTTGACTGCGCGCTGTGGTTTATTCTGAAAGTGGTCCGCTGTGTGACCTGAGAGGCCTTGGGTGGTGTCGCATGGAGATCAATGGGTCTGAGCCAAGCCCCCATTCTAAAAAAATGCGATTGTTCATTCTGCTAAGTTGGGACCCTTGTCTGCCACATGTAGTGTCCACCAACCACTTTGACATGTTAATGTTGTTCCCAACGCAACTCATCCATTTGGAGCCTCCAGGCGACGGCTCTCGGCTCTTGGCATTTCCACGCCTTCAGGGTGATCTCCTTCATCTTCTCGAGCAGTTCCACGCGGGTGTCCACGTCTGTGCCATCCTACAGCCCCAAACTGCCCGGAAGAACGGCAGAGGCTTTTAAAAACTGCCGCTCATGATGTTGAGCCTGGATTAATAAACCCCTGTTTAAGAATATGGGGGTGCCCCCGGCTTTAGTGGGGATTTATCACTTTTGGAGGGGCAACGCTACAGAAATAAGATTCACATAGTCAACCCTGCAACGCCTAACGTGTCATTTGCGCCGCTATCGCTTTCATCCGCAGGGCGCGCCGCACGGTGTCTCGATTCACTGCGTCAATATAACTGCAGCATCGCCAGTATCGTTGTCTCAGTGCGCCGTGTCAGGACTGCGTCCGTGCCGCTCTGTCACTATCACTGTCAAAATCACGTGGCCCGCCGCGCACTACGCCCTCACCAGAGGGTCGGCCATTTGTTTGGGAAGCCCGACTTGAGCGCGGGGCGCTGGTTCCTGCCGTAGGTCGCCAAGCCAGCGATGCCTTGTTGATTTAGTTGTTTATTTCCTCATTTACGAGCTAGCACGGGCCCCCCGCCACACGAGCAAGTTACCTAAGTCACTTTGCTTCCGCTCTACGCGCCAAACAGTAAACCGGAAACAGGATTATTAACGCCGGGCGGGAACGGCGTGAGCTGTTGAAACGCAGCCCTCTGCGTGGACCGTGCGCGTTGGGGTCGAACACCTCGATGAACTCTGCGTGGGTTGCGCGTGTCGGGGTCAAACAACAATTTGCTACCTTTTGCAGCTTGGCCGATCCTCGGTGTGGATCTGGCGCCCGTCGGTCGCGGGTCAGAGTCGACAAACCCGTGGTTTCGCTACTGGTGCGTCCAAAAGTTGTTGTCTCGGTGCGGGGATTGTCGCCAACAGGAAAGCCTCAGCGATCGATCGATCGATCTGGATTGGGAGCGCTTCACGATCCTTGCTCCCCTTACGCATCCATGGCAGCATGAGCATGATTTTGCGCATCAGGACAACCCTTGGAGCGAATCCATGCATAAGGGAACTTATCCATCGTTCGATCGTAGAAACAGCCAACATCCCAATGAGGCACGCAGCATGCATAGAACTTATCCATCGTCTTATCTTCACAAGCATAACCTTGTGAGTACTAGACTCAGCCGCGACGATACCCATGTCAGTTTCCTGTCTACCTCGGTTGAGTAAATCACGCTAGTCCTGCTGCCTTGTGCTTCCGGGTCACTTGTCGTCCACCTTGGATGGCCTTGAAAGGAAACCAGAAGGAAACCACACATATTATGGTTTCTTTTGAACTCCCCGAATTGCCTATGGGCAAATGGCATACGTATACATATATATATATATATGTATATATACATGTATATATACATAGAGATAGATATTAATATATTTCCGCTTACAAACTGGGGCCCCCATACTTCAGATCCTTATACTGTATGCGTGTGATCATTTAGTGGAGATCGACCTGTTGCTGAACATCAGAGACACATGGCTGGATTCCTGTCCACCTTCCAAACACAGAGACTATCGCCTTGTGTGTGCCCAAGAAGGCAAAGCCCAGGCTACGATTCCGACTGTCCTTGGCAAAGTCCGCAAAGATGCCGCGGAACTGCTGATACACCTGGTCCTGCGCTGAGCAATGGAACAAGTTCTCGCTACAGCTGCCCATATCAGACCAACCTCAGTGAACTCAGTGCACGACCAAAGTCCTGGCGCTTGGTTTCCTGCTCACGCCATGCATTGCGCTTGGCCACCACTTCTGGAGAGTCCTGGAAAAGCAAGGACGCCAGTGAGGCCCTGCCCTTTCCTTCAAATGGTGCTGCTGTCTTTCCCAGCTGCTCCGACATCATGCTACACACGATATGAAGGTGTTGGAAAGGGTTTTGCGCATCACTTCCTGAGCATTCCCACAAGCTCCGGCACCCCGTAAATCCTTCCGCTTGGTCCATTGGACCAGTGATTTGCACTCATAAAGCTCGGAAAACACAACACCTGCGTGACCAGTTGTTCGTCTGTTCCACGTTTCCCGCTCAAAACTTGCGTGTGTGTGTGTGTGTGTGTGTTTGTGTGTTTGTGTGTTTGTGTGTTTGTGTGTTCGTGTGTTTGTGTGTTCGTGTGTTTGTGTGTTTGTGTGTTTGTGTGTTTGTGTGTTTGTGTGTTTGTGTGTTTGTGTGTTTGTGTGTTTGTGTGTTTGTGTGTTTGTGTGTTTGTGTGTGTTGTGTGTTTGTGTGTTTGTGTGTGTGTGTTTGGTGTTTGTGTTGTGTGTTTGTGTGTTTGTGTGTTTGCGTGTTTGTGTTTGCGTGTTTGCGTGTTTGCGTGTTTGCGTGTTTGCGTGTTTGCGTGTTTGCGTGTTTGCGTGTTTGCGTGTTTGCGTGTTTGCGTGTTTGCGTGTTTGCGTTTTGCGTGTGTGTTTGGTGTTTGCGTTTGCGTGTGTGTTTGGTGTTTGTTTGGTGTGTGTTGTGTTTGTGTTTGTGTGTTTGTG